CACACACACACACACACACACACACACACACACACACACGAGGTCAGACCCCAGACCAAATGGTGGGGCCCGAATTCCTGGGCGACCAGGGAGAAACAAGGCTTACCCTGGCAGGGATTTCAGGTTAGTAAGGGCAAGGGTCTCACGGTCGGTCGTCGGAAATGGGAGGGACACGGGCGCTGGGGTCGTTTTCCTCTGCTAACTTGATGGGATTCAGTCAGCTGGGAAGGCTTTAGAGAAGCCCCACGGGGCGTCTCCGAGGTCACCAGCACCTTTCAGTCAGCGGCCTCTGCTGGGAAGAGGGGTTATAGTCAGCGGCGACCGTGGGAACTGTGGCTGCAGGTGCGCACTCTCTGGGTCGTGAGGTCCCGCCCTTCAATCCTCCCCCGCATTCTGCAGTGCGGACCCCGAGGCATCCTCAAGGCGCTCACAGCCTAGGACGCCGGACGTGCGACCCCGCCCCTCTGAGCCCGCGCGGCCTCAGTTTCCCCTGGGCCTCAGTTTCCCGTTGCCCCTGACGCCTTCAATCCCCAAGCCCCATGGAGAGCGGAGTGTAGAAGCCAGGGGGCCTGCGCCCGAGGGGGGTCGCATCTGTCCGTCCGTCTGTCTTTCTGGGTGGGTGGGAGGCAGGTTAAGCCCCGACGGCAGTCTGACGGCACCCGGCAGGAGTTACAGCACTCACCGTGGGCAGGGGTTGGGGCCACAGGGTCGGGGGTCCCTGCTGGCGTCGCTGTCGCACTGGCTGGGGACACCAAGGCACAGCCACCGCTAGCAGCCACGCGCACTGGAGACTGAACACTGCAGAGCGGGCGCGACGGGCGGGGGGCGCGGGCGGGCGGAGGCGGGGCCTGGCCTCCTTTGCTGGGGGGAGGTTCCAGCCCTGTCCTCCCCCACCCTGCGCGTCTGGGGTAGGGAGGGGGTTCCTGCCCACCTGGTGCTGGCCAGAGAGCCCCTGTTCCCGGCTCAGTGCTCAGTAACCCACAGGTGGGTGCAGAGAGGGGCGCTCGCTTGATTGTGCTAGCCCCTCCATCACCACCACCATCACCACCGCCCCGCCCTCGAGGGAAGAGGCTGTCGCGGGGTCTCCTTCCCAGAGCTGCAGGGAAGAAGCTACAGCCGCCCAAAGGAAAACACGAAGTGCCTGGGTTTCTTGAAGTGCTGTACAGTCATATCCAAAGTCAACCCTCTCACCAAAGCTCTGCCCCTCAGTACTGCCTGGAGCTGCTCTCTTCTAGGGAAGTCAGCTCTGGCATTAACCTGGGACATCTTATGACGCCATTACTATCCCTGATTGTGCGCAGAAGGCTGGGTTAGACCACAGTAGCTGGATCCTGCTGTTTGAAGCCCACTTACCCCCTAGATCTCCTCCTCACTCATCCTCCACCACTTGAGCAGAGTGATGGTCACCTGGGGGCTTGTTAAACCAGTTGTCTGTCCAGTCCCAAATGTGCTGGCTCTGGAGCTGGGGCAGAGGGAGTACCTGACAGGGTTCCTGCCGTAGTGGGTTCTCAGCTACCCATGGAGAGCTGCCGAGTCGTTCTTGCCTGTTTCAGGGCTCAGTAGGCGTCTGGGGACCAACACCGACCTTGGTAGGATACCCCTGGCCGCCTTGCTTTGGAGTTTATCCCAAAGGTCTGTTCTTATGGGAAGGACTCCAAGCAGTGTGAGGATCAGGAAAGCAGGCTTGGGAATCCTCCACCCCAGACTGAAGCAAAGACCATCTTCTCTGGGGAGGTCAAACTGGAACGGGCTTCCAAAGAAGTACCGGTCAGGGGCCTTTGCTCCTCATTACCTGTAACTGGGAGGAAACCTCCGGGAGGTAGCAGCCTGACAGCAGCCCTTCGTCCCAGGGAGCATACAGGTGAGGTGGATGTTGCCACCTGGCTCTATCCCAGGTCACATCTATGCCAAATCCTACACCCATCACTGTGAAGACAGACAGAACAAAATATTGTCCTGACTTGGCACAGCCAGGTCAGGCAAAGGGGATGAAAGGTGTGACGTGTGACGCCACTGTCAGGTTAAGGGTGTCAGATGAGCAAGGGAGGAGGGGTCCAGGACTCTGTGCCCCACACTGTCTCTCTATAGGGGATAGGAATTGGAGTGGCACAGCTGACCTCCCTCCCAGGATCTGGAGTTGCTGCGCCCACTAGTGAAGTCTTGCATCAGGTTTTGCCAACCTGTTGGAACAAACGCAGTCTGGTTGCCATGGTGATGGTAATGGCTTTGGGGTAAAAGGATGAGCTAGAGGCTGCTGTAAACAGGAAGTGGGGGGGCAGGCCCACTGCAGGGGCTCCAGCTTCCTAGAAGCTAGACTAGCTGGGTGAGCCCTGCTCCTGTCTTTGACAGGGAAACTGAGATGCAAACATGAAAAGAGGCTTTGAGTCACATAGCAACAGACTGAGTCCCAAACCCTGCCCCCAAAGCCTAATTTTCCTTGGGTTCTTCCTTCCATAGACCTTTAGTGTGTGAGTGTGTATAGAAGGGGTGGGCGGGTTGAATGAATGACAACCCATTGGTGACTCATGTCGTTATCTTTCTTGACTCATTCTAAGGCTGTCATGGGTCTGGGCCACAGGGTCACCTGGGCACATTCCTCCTTTGCTCAGAGCCTTGGTTGTTCTCATCTGTAATAGGGGATGTAACTGACCCTAGAGATTGCCAAGGAATCTTAATACCTGGGCTCCTCCTGAACCTGGAGCCAAGCTCCTCCTACAACAGGGAAAGGCAGACTGCCTAGTAAGGACTCAAAGGGTCAGAGACTAAGGTCTTTGGTGAAGCACCCCCAGGCCTGCAAGAATATATTCACCTGCTGAAAAGAAGTGGCTTTAGGGTTGTGTGTGGCTCAGGATAGCCTTCTGCCTGAGAAGCTGGTCCTTGAACTGCAGTTCACACTAAATATTTTGTGACTTTCTTGCAGCCGGTATCCACGTAGCCAGAACCAGTCCATGTCTGGGTGTTACCACACATGAAGCTTTTTGTTTGTTTGTTTTAAACCAAAAACAATCATGTTCTCATGTAGCTCAGGTTGACCTCAAACCTCAAACTTGCTATGTGGCCTGGTTAACTTTGGTTTTCTGATTTTTCTGCCTTTCCCTTTGAAGCTCTGTAATTACAGGTATGTGCCACCATTTCCAGTTTTACGCAGTGTTGGGGACTGAATCCAGGGCTTTGTGCACACTAGGAAAGGACTTGATCAATAGCTACATTGGGCCAAAGATTGACTAATTTGTCAATCTTTTTTGCTTGTTTTTGTGTAGGGCACTACTGAGGACCTAACCTAGGGTATGAGGCATGCTAGGCCAGCATTCTATCACCAAGGAATATCCCAGCTTCACATGCTATTTTTGTGGGGCCTGGCTGGAGGGAAGGCAAAAGAAGCTGGTACTGGACAGGGTCGGCCAAGAGCAACACAAAGACTATTTTTTAGGTGGGTCTGAGTCCATCTGTAAGACTCTAGAGTACCTGCTGAGGAACACAAGCTCTTGGCATCTGTCCTCAGAACCAGCGAGGGGTAGTGTGCCAGGGCCCATTTTCCCTAAGGGCCCACTGCTACAGTCACAGGCTGAGTGGAGATAAAGGACAAAGGCTATTATCAGGTGACAGCTGGACACACAATGCATAACTGGCTTCTGTGTGCCCACCATTGCTTGCAGAATCTGGGGTTTGGAGGCATCCTCCTCCTTCTCTCTTCTCTGGGACTAGAACCTTCCAGAGACAGGAACCCCTTGAGGGGCAAGAACTTTGCTTTTAAGGAGGTGTCCTGGAATGAGGACACATGATCAGGCTCAGGCAGGCAGGGCTCACATGAACAAGCCCAGACCCGTTTCTCCTGTATTTTTGCTGTTTGTCCCTTTTCTCCTTCAAGAGTTCAGGTATGGTCTCTAGGCCAGGCCAGAGAGCTGGCCTAGAGAGAATTGGTGGCCCCAATTTAGGCTCCCCACCAGGCTCAGTGACTTCTCAGAGGCACTAACAATACCTGGAGGCCTCTAAGAGTCTCAAGAGCTACCAAATGCCCCCATCTCCACCTCAGGGTCAGGGTCAGGTGGGACCAGTGCCCAAACACAAAATTTCTTGAGCCCTCCCTGCTTGGATTGGTTCAAATCAGCTCCTGAAGGTACAAGTCAGTGCTGGGCCCTGACAACCTCAAAATGGTATAGCAGATCCAGATATCTTTGGGCACTTGTCTGCTGGATTACCCAGGTGGCCTTGAAACCATCATTGTTGGGTGCAGCAGTGGCTAGGTTTTCTAGCTGGCCAAGTCCCAGTGGGGCTGTGTTAGATAGTTTTATGTCAATTTGACACAAGCTAACATCATTTGTGGGGAGGGAACCTCAATTAAGAAAATGCCTCCAAGGCTGGGTGGCAGACGTGCACATCTTTAATCCTTGCACTCAGGAAGCACAGGAAGGGGATCTCTGTGAGTTTGAGGCTAGCCT